GAGAGCAGGTGCATTGGATGAACTAGTTAAACGAAGAAGAGATGCAGAGATTCTGGCAGTCGGTACTCCCCTGTAAAGAGGAGATCTCTTACTACGATTACTTTTAGCCGGAGTGGAAGTGGGTCTCATAGCGATGAGAGAGATTCATCGGGGAATGGTGGAATGGCTGACAGTGATGATGACATGACATCCGAGTCCAAGATTCCAACATTTTCGGATATGAGAGAAATTAAGATTCAGAGGTCAAAACTAGCAAAAATGGTTTATGGAGCCTGTTGAATAATCGACCTCCAATGGTGGATTTTCCGGGCTCAATTTAACCAATCTCTATCTTATTAAACACACCCAACAAAGGCTCCAACCTAAACAATCATGATTCTTACTTCGGTTGCTCAACTCAATGTGTTCACAAAGAACACAATATGGTGGCTGCAATGAATCACAAAGAATAGAGGAAGACAGATTCAGTTTAAGGCTCAAGAGAGAAAACTAGAGAAAAATGTAGGCTGCCTCTTTTCAATTGCACACACACGGCTCTTTCAACAAAATGAGAGCAATATATAGGTTTAGGGTGTAATAATATAATGGACTTATGGACCAACTAATGGTTAAAGGGGACGGAACACAAATTGAGTCATCCAAGAAGTAAATGGGCCGTGAGCAACATTAACTATATTAAGTTGCTTCAAACGACCCTCAAGTTGTTTTTCGGGTTGAGCCAATTAATCGATTGTGTTGATAAATATTTCAATTATCGGCCGAAGTCTATGAAATCTAATCCGACTATCCGACACTGTTTAACATCATCGCCCGAGATTATTGGATACCAAAAACCCAACAATCTCCACCTTGATGCCCAATAATCTGCAAGTAACCAAAACACAAAGTCTAAACTTGCACAATCAAGGTAATCCAATAAAATTAGTATCTCAGACCTTACCTCGTGTTTCGAACCGAAACACACACCATACCTGCTCCATGTACTCACCGAGGCTAAGGTCCAAAAAACACCCGAGTAGAAACAAGTACTTACAGTGAACAACTAATCATGCGATAAAGATATTATATAGGATACATCACACAGATCTTTTCAAATTCACGTTCACACAGAATCAAAGATTAACACCAAGTTAATCAGCACACGGTCAAACACATATGCAACAAATGCATAAATGACCTCATGAAAGATCTCACCACACTTATCCTATCCCATTTCGTGTTACTCCCACCTCGAGAACACACATCTCCTCTCATCGCCCACCATGCTCACTAAATAGATCACACAACTCATGTCAAAATGGCAAGTCACAATAGATCTTAAGTTCAGGAATAATCCTCTATCACCACATGACTTCTCCTAACCTACGTGGATAATGGGACTCCACCTTACAGAAGTGATAGAAGTGCCTCTCTCGCACTTCACCTGTACAGGGTCGCTTTCACAGATAAATGATTCTACACATTTGATCACATCTCCACTCGTGATCCAAATGTCACACTCTACATCCCCCGGTACAAATCACCATGTACCCCTAGGCATCTATACTCCACCTTACCAAAAGACATCTAACACACTGCTAATGCATCCTAACCCACTATGCATGCAAACTATTACACCAAATAATCACATTACCTCAAATTGATGCAAACACACATATCAAACAAATTGAAATGCAACATATAGTCATGCAACAAATTAGGCAATCACACACATGCTGAAAGGATCACACACAGATGCATATGCAGTGACTAGATTTACTCTCTCAATAAACCTCACTGGGGTCATAACTCGACCCCTCAACCACATTCGTCTCACCTCTCACATAACCCTTCTGCTTATCCTTCTTCTTGGGACAATCCCTAATAAAGTGTCCAGACTTACCACAACTATAACATCGTCTACCACCAGAATTGTCCCGTCCCTTGCCCTTCATCTTACCACCTTCATCACTCGAGTCACTACTCGAATCACCACTATTTTGAACTCTACCCAAATTCATTTTCTTAAACTTCATCTCGCTCCTTATCATGTGTAACTCACCACTCCTCTTATCTTCATTTTCAACCTTCATTTCCATCTCCTTACTCCTAAGCGAGTCTACGACAATCTCGGGAGTCAATGTATCCCTACCATACTTAATGATATTTTTAACTTCCTTATATGACTCAGGCATATAATTAAGCAAGATAATAGCCTTGTAGGTTTCATATACGATTTCTTCACAGTTAACAATATCTTGGACAAGTTTATTGAAAACATGTAAATTGTCATCAAGATCCTTTTAAGGATCCATTTTAAAGCTAAATAAACGCTCAAGAAGATCTTCCAACTTTTAAATGCTCAAGAAGATCTTCCAATCTCTATCTTATTGAACACACCCAACAAAGGCTCCAACCTAAACAATCATGATTCTTACTTCGGTTGCTCAACTCAATGTGTTCACAAAGAACACAATATGGTGGCTGCAATGAATCACAAAGAATAGAGGAAGACAGATTCAGTTTAAGGCTCAAGAGAGAAAACTAGAGAAAAATGTAGGCTGCCTCTTTTCAATTGCACACACACGGCTCTTTCAACAAAATGAGAGCAATATATAGGTTTAGGGTGTAATAATATAATGGGCTCATGAACCAAGTAATGGTTAAAGGGGGCGGAACACAAATTGAGCCATCCAAGAATTAAATGGGCCGTGAGCAACATTAACTATATTAAGTTGCTTCAAACGACCCTCAAGTTGTTTTTCGGGTTGAGCCAATTAATCGAGTGTGTTAATAAATATTTCAATCATCGGTCGAAGCCTATGAAATCTAATCCGACTATCCGACACTGTTTAATATCATCGCCCGGGATTATTGGGTATCAAAAACCCAATAGAGCCCTTCTTCGATAAACTGATTGTTGGTTGTTTCGTGAGAGTTGGAATTGGGAAGTCGAGGAATGGGCCTATCTACAGACTATAATTCGCAATGTTGATGCCTCGGACCCTGGTAGGCAGTATAAGCTTGAACAACTACCTGAATGTGGGCTGCGGCAATGAAAGCTCTGCTGCCAGGTGGCAGATGGCAATGATTTCAGATTCTACGCTACTCAAAAGAGGAGTTTCATCAATGGGTTAGGGAGAACAACCCAACCCATGAAAACCGACCGACCCAATCCAAACCGACTGGGTTGGGTCGGTTTTTTCCTTTTTTTGACGGTTTTTCGGGCTATGGGTTGAGTAATCGGTTCGAGTTGGGTCGGGTTGTGGGTTAACAAGGAAAACCCAACCCAACCCGCCCGACCCAACCCGCATGCTTTAAAAAAATAAAAAAATAAAAAAAAGGCGGGGGGAACTGACTTAAAATGAGAGAAAAGCCCTAAATTTCTCACTTTCTCACTCTCGTCTTCAATCTTCAGCCCCAAAGCCAAGGTGACATCAATTGATCAACCTATCTCTGCCTCAGACAAACAAATTGTTCATCAATTTCTGTAGAATCAAAGAGAAAGGTGGCATTTGAAATGGATACATCAAACCCGGTTGTTGGTTATACCTCTTTCGACTTTTGTCGAGGTAAATGGCTGACAGTGATGATGAGAAGACATTCGAGTCCAAGATTCCAACAGTTTCGGATATTAGGGAAATTACGATTCGGAGGTCAAAACTAGCAAAAATCGTTTATGGAGCCCTTCTTCGATAAACTGATTGTTGGTTGTTTCGTGAGAGTTGGAATTGGGAAGTCGAGGAATGGGCCTATCTACAGACTATAATTCGCAATGTTGATGCCTCGGACCCTGGTAGGCAGTATAAGCTTGAACAACTACCTGAATGTGGGCTGCGGCAATGAAAGCTCTGCTGCCAGGTGGCAGATGGCAATGATTTCAGATTCTACGCTACTCAAAAGAGGAGTTTCATCAATGGGTTAGGGAGAACGCAGTGGTGGTCATATGCCAAGCAAACAGGTGGTGGTGGAAAAGAGAGATGCCACACAAAAAGCAAGCACGTTTGTCTACTCAGTAGCCACCGTCAAACAAATGTTTCAGGAGAAAAAAACTGCCACATGGGTACCATTAAATATGGCTGCCGAAAAAGATCGTCTCAGGAGGGAGTTGGAAGTTGCCGAAATGAGGGATGACGAGGTAGAGGTTGAGAGGATCAAAGCAAGACTACAAGAACCAGAGGAAAGATTCAGAGGCGATTCGTCTTGCGGAAATGAACAAAAGGAACAGGGTCGAGAATTTAAAAAATGCATCAGAATACAAGTTTGAAAGCTGGCACGATCCCTTTTCAAGATGGACGAGATGAAGGTATTATTACCTGTCGAACTCCGGTGGAGAAGCAGCAGCAGGTGATGCGATTGCTGTATTAGAGATTGCTAATAGCAACGGAGGAGAAGTTTCGGCTGAGGCTGGAATGGCCACTACTGCTGCAGCTGATGCTGGGAAGTTGGTGGATACAAGAGCTCCAGTCGACCAAGGGACTGTTAACAAACCTGCTACATAATTTTGAATTGCACATTTCATTGGCCTTGCTTCGGAAGTTTGGCTGGCCCAAGCTGGATTTATGGCCAGGAAACAACGGATGGAAGCGACTGTAGGCTGAAAAGTTCCTTAGAATGATGGGAGGAGGCACGCACTGACCTTGACAGTCAGCGACTACTAGAGACGAAGGGGGCTATTGTGCTGGCCACTTTTCTTCTCATGGTGATTCAAATGCTGAATTGGACTCTCGACTTTTGAGGGAGCTGCAACCTTGTCGTGTAATCAACTTTGCATTAGTTTGCAAGCCGTAACCTATAATTTACCCGTTAACATTTAACCTGTGTTTTTACCTACGGGTCCATTATAGTTTTCTGCTTATCTTTTGTTCTCAGAAAAGAAATACTATATGGTTTGTTTTCAATTTTATTATCATTTCAAAGTAGAAGTAAATGCTTCGCATCAAACCGTGTTTAATTTGAAACAAAAAGTTTCCATGTACTAAACACATGGTAATAACAGTGAATATAATTGGACACAATAATTGGCAATTTTTTTAACGGGTATATCAAATATTTGATATGCATAGATATAATAGAATTGGACACAATAACCATCAAATATTCTCACACAACTCTTTTTCTTAGAAGTCTAAATATCTCACATTGAATAAGTGTGAAATAAATAGAGAGAATTGCACCATCCATCAATTTTTCTTCATCTTTCAATATTGCCCTTTTACTGAGCTTTAGCCTCATGTACTGCTCAACCGGCCCTCCTGGAGAAAAATTCTCCCAACCAAAATCTTTCTCATGAAAAAGTGATATCTAGTGGATTGAGCATGACAACAGCAGAAGCACAGCAAATTTCTTTCTAGTCTGAATCAGAATCGGGATACACAGATGATCTAACTGATGTACGTTTACTATCAAGATAATCATCATTATCTTCTTCTCCTTTCTTCTCATCAATCATACCTGCAAAATGATGGTTTAGAAACTGCAGCAACATACCCAAGTCGCAAAGCATTTTGTATAAAATCATCACCTTTCTTCAACAGAAGAACTTCAAGAGTCCTCGTGCTAAAATCATCTTTACCTCCCATGTCATCAAATCCAACCAGCCTCCCTATCGCAATTCCTTTCCTGAAAAACAATTCCAAATCCATATAAGCAACATATAAATCTGAACTGGATCAAGCTCGGCATATATTTACTGCCCATCAAAAGGCATTCATAAACTGCAGACCAAAAATTAAGGTACAAAAAATAATCATTTCCATGTAGGTTGTGATCCAATTTAAGAAAATATTCAACAAATGAATACACCCAAACCCATTGAGGTTTGTGCCAGAAGATTCAGAAAGCTATACCACCCCTTACATTGTCTCTTATTCCAATGACTTGAAGCCTACCAATTGTCAAAAATGACACCATCCCTTTCCGACCAATGAAAACTAAAAGCCTGACAATAAGACAGGTAGTCAAAGATTCTACACAATCTATTGCTAAAATTCACTTGTTTCTCACTTGTGTGGAAGTGTGTTAATGTTAATATTTTTTTAGAATACTATGTTGTCATGTTAAATATGGGCCAACGATATATATAATTCTCTCATGTCATTCTCCATCTAAAATTCAAAGAGGAAGTTGTCGGGATGACCTAGTTAGAGAGAACAAGGCTCAATTTAGATTAAGATAACACGCCTTTTCTTTTCCCAAAAACACTAATATCTTTTTCTTGTTCATTCTCATCCCTACCTATCTTTCTCACCCATCCATCAACCCACCCACTACGAATTCAGATTTTATCTTCGTCATGAAGGATGATTCACTGAGTATTCCGTTGTTCTATGAAATGTGAACAATGCAATAACAAAAGTAAAAACAGTAATATCTCTTTCTTGTTCATTCTCATCCCTACCTTTCTCACCCATCCACCCACCCACCCACTACGAATTCAGATTTTATCTTTGTCATGAAGGATGATTCATTGAGTTTTCCATTGTTCTATGAAATGTGAACAATGCAATAACAGAAGTAAAATATTGCATTGCAATGATTTTGTGACAAATAAAATAAGAGAAACAAAATGAACCTCTGAAGACATTTAATTTTGTTTGAGAACCCTAAAGTACCCTCTCGAGTCCAAAGTAGCTATTACTCGAGATCCCTCAAGGTGCTTCTAAGATCCTCATCCCAGTAAGGATGAAAGGGGTAATAAGCCCATTTCTTCAAATAATGTCACACAGGATTATTAACCCTTAAAATGGGCATTTAATATGAATAATGAAATTGAGTATTCACTTTTTAGAATGAACCTCTGAAAACATTTAATTTTGTTCAAGAACCCTAAAGTAAACTCTCGAGCCCAAAGTAGCTATTACTGGAGATCCCTCAAGGTGCTTCTAAGATCCTCATCCAAGTAAGGATGAAAGGGGTAATAAGCCCATTTTTTAAAATAAAGTTACACAAGATCATTAACCCTTAAAATGGGCATTTAATATGAAAAATGAAATTGAGTCTTCACTTTACAGTGGCCATTAAAAAAAAAAAAAAAAAAAAAAAAAAGAGAAAAGAATGAGCATTTTTAAAAGAAATCCCAAAATCAAATAAGAGGAAATTATCAAGAAGGGATCTATACTAATAATCACTAATCCGATTCAACTATCTTCTCCAGTCGGGTTATAATTGATAACTTAATCCAGATCTTGGTAACTATTAAGCAATGCTATTAATCCTATTTTTCTAAAATCGAAGAACGTAGTTTTCTCTAAACAAACATGTCATTAGTTATCTTAGCTTTGATAGCCATACTCAGTGTTACAACCAACTAGAAAAATTGAGATCCAAACATATAGAATGTGATTCACTGATAAAATATAGAGACTCAAAAAAAAAAAAAGAAAAAAAAAAAAAAAAAAAATTCTGAAAAAAAACTCAAAAAAAAAAAAAAGAAAAAAAAAAAAGAAAAAAATTCTGAAAAACAACTCAGAAATGCATGAAGTGTACCATCAATAAACAATGAAAGAGGACTGACCTAAATAGTATGACACAAGGCAATGTTTTGATTCCCAGCTTTGTAATGAAGAAAGGTGCATTCTACAGAAACATTTATAATGAATAGCCTCAGTATTTTTCAAGTGAATGAAACCAAACACTAGCACAAAGAGTATAAATGAAAATTGGTGACACAATAACACAATTTGGTTGGAAGGAAAAAGATGGAGAGAAGTAAACTTCTCGATATTTTTCTGAAATTGGTGACACATTAACACATAGTTATCCAATGCCAAAATAGTTAAGTTAATCAACTATCCCTCATATTAAACAAGGAATAATCAATTTTCCTTTCACAAGGAGTAGAAATAGGGTGGAAACTATTCATTAGTCAGTTTTAAAATATATGGAGCATAAAGGTTTTGTATCTCTAAATACAAAACCATTCCTAGAATTTTGTCTCATAAAATGGCTATCTTCACCATTCCTAGAATTTTGTCTCATAAAATGGCTATCTTCTATGTAGACATACAATTATACTTAAACAAAACACACATATATTTAAACATCATTAAGTAAATAAATTGCTCGATTTTGAGTTAGGCATGGAATTATTATTTGTTACAAATGCAAGGTGTTCCAAGGATTCTGAGGTGGCAATTATTTAGCCATAACATTAGTAGTTATACAATGCCTAAAGTGTTATTTACACCATACAACTATCCCTCATATTAAACAAGAACGGAATAACCATCCTTCCTCCTGCAAGGAGCAGAAATAAGGTGGAAACTCTCCATCAGTCAATTTCAAAATATATGTAGCATAAAGGTTAAAACTGACCTCAGCATCCAACTTGACAAATTTGGTGCTAAAATGTCTTAGAGCGAGGGACTTCAAATGTTTGTCCATAATCCTAAAAAGAGTCATTAGACATAGTTATAGAAGATATTAGAAGATTTGTCACATGTAATTAAATATATGAGAATCCACAACTGTGAAACATGTACTAAACCATGCAAGGCCTCGTACAAAATATTAGTCTCACATCACAAATTTTGGCTCAAGCACATTCCTTGAGTTACATTTCTTTTTTTTTTTTTTTTGGATTTAATTTAAGGCTTGAAGATGTAATTCTAGCCAATAAGCCTTTGTTTGACACTCTTTAAAATTTTAATACATTTTTCTCTCTTTCTTTTCAATCACAAATTCTTCAATAAAATAATATTATACGTAAATAAAATTTTTTCCTTCTTTCTTAACCACACATTCTCCCAAAAAATACTATTCCATAATACATCTTATCAAAATTTCTCTTTATAATGGGGCTCAAACAAGGGCTAAATATTATGCAAAATTATAGTTTTCAAGCTAAAGGCTAACCAAACATCTCACAAATGAGAAGTTCCCTCCATCATTTCTTTACATATTGAGAGGGGGAGGGGGAGGGGGTGTGAGAGAGAGATAGAGTCCTTACTTGCAACGGTAGAACTCCCGATGGAAGAAGTGACAAATCACTTTATCACTTCCAGTAACTTCACCCAAAAAGTCTGCTTCAGTTATGTCCCTATACTCTCCGTGCCCTTGCATTTTCAATTCATGTCGCTTCTCGGCTTCTTTCTATAAGAACAAATCCAGGAAAACACTATCTCTACCATCCAAAATCCAACCTCAAATAAAATCACAGTAAGATGTTTGAAATGAGCATGCCGAGTTACAAACCTTAAGAGCAGCAATCCTATCTGCATGCAATTTTTCCAGCTCAGGGTCCTGTCGTAACACAATGATTATACACAAAGCACATTTTTGCAGCAATAAAGAGAGAAATTATAAATTTATTCTCCACTTACATCCATCAATTCATCAAGATCAAATTCCTCATTAACAGAAGACGATGCATGTCCTTTTTCTTGAGCAAGTAATTCCTGTAGTGAACTCATGCGTGAGATACAAGTGTGTAACACTAGCTAATTGGCACGATATTGTTTTTTGAAATTTCTAAGGTATGTAAGTGTCTAGCATACAAGTAAAGTTCATTCGTCATTTTTCATTGTTTACTTCTTGAAAATCATTGTGAAGATTGAATGCAGTAACCATGCAAAACTATAAGGAGTGGCTGAAACTATTAAAACTAAAATGGGAAATTCGAATTTTGAAGACAAATTCTATATCTTGCTCCAAAAATAAAAAAATAAAATAATAATAATAATAATAATAGTAAATAAATAAATTGGGGAAAGAAAGGAATAATCATGAAGCAGGGATCACCTTTTGGTAATCACGGGCTGCAGCAGCCATTACATTGCCGAAAGCCAAATTAGAGAGGGTTGATTTCACTGAATCAGGATCCATTTCTCTTTTCACTGTGATCAAAATTTCATGTTCATCATACACAGAAGAAGAAACAAATTAATCTATTCATCCACATAGACAAATTACCTTCGATTTCAGAAAAATAAGATGAAAACTTTCCAAGATCTAGGTTTATATAGCGCTTACAAGCCAAGGCTGGAAAGATAGTTTGAATCGAAGTAGCGATTATTATTTAAAAAGAGGGAAATGAAATACTAGTGGCCTTTCTTGATAAATTTCTATTATTTGATATTTGGAATTTTCTCCGAAAAAAGGCTCCTTTCTTTTCTAATGTCCACAATAAAATGAAGACTTCCAATTTTCCCATTTTAAAAGGTAAAAATTTTCTATAACTTTATTATATTAAGAAAAGAGCTCCCTTCATCTTGCTACTTAAGCCTTGTTAGCCCCTCATGTTCTCAAACTCATTTTTAGTAACACATTCTCCCAATATTATAATTTTGAGTGTAAACTTACAACTTTTCCTTAATTTCCTAAGCCCACATTCTCCTAAAAAATGAATTCTATTTTAAAAATATCTCTACCAAACTCTTATAAAAGCATCTTGATGGGTCTCAACTATTATCTACTTACGTGTTGAAACTTTAGAAACATAATTATGAAATCTGGACCTATCAATCTATGATGTTCGGACTCTCTAAAAATGAAGAAGTATTCGTATCGACACGACATAACACGGATATTGATACGGAATATGGATAAGATTATTGATTTTGCACTCGGACGCAAAAGGGAGAAGATGACTGTTTTCTAGCTTTGCGTCAAGGGTTTTGTAGAAAGAAATAACAGAGAAAGAGTTCGGAAAGACTAGGCTATTGAGTTTGTTGGTTAGTGAGTTTCTAGTTAGCTGGGTTTTAGGGAATTGAATATTGAGATTCTAGGTTATTATGGGAATGGGATTTTCGGCTTAAGGAAAATTGGGTATTTTGTGTTGATCTTGCGCATGTAACTAGATATGTTATAGTTGTAATGTATATGATTATTGAGCAGCAACACAGAATGCAACATTTTGAGAGCAGGTTTTTTTTTTTAAATTTTTAAAATTTTTTTAATAAGTAAAAACAGCAACTAAAAGATGAAATAATTTTTTATTTTGAGTTTATTTTTGTATAAAATTTCTTATTTCTCATATTTTATCTGTCTAAACTTTTTATTTTGTAATTAAAGTGCTAAAACTTTTTTTTTTGGTATTAAATTTAAATTTATTTCTATAATTGTTTTTAAATAATATATAAGATACTGAAATTGATTTTTTTCTTTAATTTTTTTTTTGAAAAGAATTTATTTTGCCTTTAAATTTACATTGGTGTCATTTAAAAGTATATTTTGTAAGATGTATCACCATAGCTGTATTTAAAGTTCGGATCATTTTTAACTGTATCCCCGTATGTTAGATATATATTCGTATCCAACACACACTCGAGTTCGAGCATCGTAGCCATCAATGACCCGACCATGGGGTCAACGAGCCAATAGTCAACACATCGAGTCATTGGTTTAACTGGGGAAGTCATTGTCAAATTAATGAAATCTACCATGCTAGACACCCTGGTTCAAGTCTCACTTAGCTACAATATTTTTTATATTTTGTATTGAAGGCAATTGCAAACTAGTTTTCAATGAACTGTTCTGATTTCTTCTGGAAACCCATCCAAACCAGTCGATTATTGACCGGTTTCCTTGTCAATCGGTTCATTGGCATTACTCAAACCGGGCCAGTGTCCAATTCTCCATCAGGTGTCCCAATGGTTTGGGGGTGAAATCTTCCATTATAGATACAGTTGTTCAAGTCCCACTTAGCTACAATTGGGCCAGACCTAAGACTTTCACCTTAGTCGAACTCCAAAAGTTGGCCCTCAAATCTGATATCACATTATATCAGCTAAGCAATAAAGTCACCGACGGCTGTTTTAACATATATGAAAGGACAAGATCAGCAATTTACAAGCAACCTCAATGCAAAAAATGGATTAGTACAGTACGTTGAGCCTCTGAAATGTCGCCAGAAGTTATGTAAGTTTTGGAAAATATGAGCTGATACTTATAGAAAAGGCCAAAACTCTGATTCGTGTTTATTAATGGAAATGGTAGGAGATGACATGTTACTACTATGAGCTGAACCAAAAACTATAGTGAAGGCCATGTAGACAATTGAAATGTGCATCCATTCCAACAAAATATTAAAATGGAAGAATCAAGTGAAGATAGAACATTATAATGATCTTATCTCCGTTTGTAGAAAGTAAAAGATCAAATAATATGTAACCAAACAATCAGACAATATTCTCATAAAACATTGATCAGTTTCAATAGGTGCGAGCCTAACATAGCACAAGAGAGTGAAATTAGAAGTATTTAGCTGCTGGCTTCTGATATGTGGCTTTCGAGCAGTTAAAATGTGTAAACTCATACGTGTGTAAAAGTATAAAAGCAACCGTTTCATAGAAAATGAGACAATGATGATCAATAGTTCAACGTAAAAAGTTGAGAGTTGAAGGACATGCTTGGAAAATCTTTCTCACTTACTTTTTCTAAATCAATTTGCATTCAAGAGTTAAACAAAAATGTGTTTTACATTGGTTAATTCTAGTATTTTGAAATCAGAAAGAAGATGCGCAGGCGTGACATCTTGGAAGCAAACGTGTAAAGGTTAGAGCTTTTCGCATATCACTTATCCGGGTCATCTTTGCATAGAACCTATTGAGACCGGATCATGAGCTAAGAGAGTTTGAAAAGCATGATAGGACCTTCGCCCTCAGCCTCTAGTCGCTAATAACAAAGTAGCACCGAAAGCACCAGAGTGATGGAAGAATGCCAAAAAATTTATTACAATATCTAACTGATAGTGTCCTCTCACTGTCTCAAACAAACAAGTTACGAGAAGTAACCTATTTCAATAAAATTGGAAATCAAAATACAGTACCATGGAGCTCCAAGTTCGTGTGTGCAAGGAAAATAGAACTCTAATTGAATCAATTTTCCTTTTCATGTATTTATTGTAATTCGTATTTACAGGACAATTGCCAACCACAATTCAAGTTTTTCCATATGAAGAAATGCAATGATCCAAACAGGTCAAAAAAGCGGAAAAAAATTATTTACCCCTGAAGTATCTCACGCCACGCAGATCTCGGAATCTTTCAAGATAAAACTGGTATCTAGAGCACCACGTCAACTCTATAAATTGTGCATAATCTTACCTCCAAAAAAAAAAAAAAAAAAATACAAAACTCACGTTAAAAAAAACGCAGATTTACCTCAAATATACGTCTGGATTTGAGATAGGATATCGCGATTAGGTGATTGGGAATGTCTCAATTGGAGCCGAGAGACAGCGATTTGGCGATCCGTGAATGTGTTGAATTAGGCTGGAACTGGGTTTGGGTAATAGGCTACAGGATACATGATTGATTTTTTAAGTGCGTGATTAAAGTGTACAGAAAATTTTTAAAATATTTTTTTATTTAATTATTTTTACTTCTAATTATTTTTATTTTAAAATTACTTTACGCATCAAACAAGTTTCGGAATGAGTTTTGCTCCTCTCACATTCACATGGGGAATCTCAAGATTTTTTTATTATCGGTCTTGAGTTGCTCCATCTACGACCCAGTAGAGCTGCTCATGAGAAATTGGAGAAGAAATTACTTTTTCTAAGGAAACCAGAAGCATCTCCTAAGAACTGACCTTAAAAGTCCTACTCATGTCTTCACTGCATGACCTTTGAGCAAAAGTAGAGTAATATTTTCAATTTTAGATCTTGTATACAAAATAACAATGAGTAATAAGATAAAGAGGAAAAATCGATACGCCATGTTCATTTTAATGCATCTAAAGTCATATTTATCATATAATACATGTAGTGAATTTTATTTATTAGTTATAATTATTTGTAACTCGTGTTTTGACTTTTATAGGCAATGAAGTGAAAGCTTTTCCGAGTTTAGAGTCTCAATGGAAGAGGTTGACTTGCGTACACTTTGAAATAACAAACAATAACAAGATTTTTTATTATTAAAGACCGAGCCCTTGTCTGAGCCCCATTTTGGGGGAGATAATGAATTTTTGAATAGTGTATTGATGGTAAATGTGTGATTAAAAAATAAGAAAAAAATTTGAATTTAAGTGTAATATTATTTTATTGAAAAATGTATAATTAAAATAATATCAAAATATTATTGAAAAATGTATTTTTTCAAAAGAATGGGACTGAAACAAGGGATGAATGAGCAATTATAATAAAATATCGAGAATTAACTTATATCCGTTTAAAAGTTGGAGATCAGTGATCAATTTGTCACTGAGGTTATAAGTTGGGACCATTAGTGCAGTCTCCTCTTTTCCAATCTTTCCCGTTTCCCTGTCATTTCTCTCTCATTACAAATTTACTCTCCAACAGAGGAAAATCGAGAGGGTGTTTCTTTCTTATATGAATAAAAAATTAATGTATGAAGAGAATAGAAATGCCAGTTAAAGTAGCAAACGAGGCCGGAGAGTCCCGTCCGTACGCCAACGGCGATTTGAAATTCCAAAACCCTAGCAATTCTGCCGCCAAGAAATCACGGGAAAGTGAGCGGCGCCGGAGACGCCGAAAGCAGAAGAAGAACACCAAGGCATCACAGGCCACAGCCGCCGGAGATGACAGCGGCTCCGCCGACGACAGCTCCAAAGAGAACTCCGATCCTCAGAAGGTATTGCTCCGATTTCTTTTTCATTTTTGATGTTATTTTTAGGGTTGTGAAATCTTTAAGTATTTACTTGAGTGGAATATGGTGGTCGAAGGTTATTTTTTAATTTTTGGTATAGATCTGCCCTTAGGGTTTCGCAGTTCATATATATTCTTGCATGCATATGCTCTAATGAGCATTTTCATATAGCTGAACTGTGGTGAAAATAAATCTGGTTAAGTGTAACTATGGGTGGTTATTGAAGTTCAATTTTAGATTTCCTGGTTATCAAGTAGGCAAAGCTGAGTATTCTCAAGTCTACCTGTATTTCCCCATATATTTTTGAGTCTCCAGCACACTCGAGCTGTACAAAGGTGCTAGAACAAAAATTATGAATTATGCTTTTCAACTGAATATGGTTCTAGTTACTTTTGGTGGTATGGAAACATCTTGAATAGAAAACCACTTGTTGTAGATAACTGTTAAGAGAAGTTCCAAGCAATTGGTATATCACGTTTCTGTCAATTTATTTCTTGATGTTTGAAGCAAATACACCAGTCTATAGATGGCATTGCCTTCTAACAGGTCTAAGGTCAATGTGGAGCATCTCGTAATACTGCTTTTCTCTGTGATACATTTTTACATGCAAAGATGCTATCTTCTATAATCACTGTGAAGGTTTTGCATCCTTTTCATTCCCCTTTTTATGGGTTAAGGAATTGTGTCTACTACTCAAACATGATAATCATGTTGTGAAAGGCTAGAGAAAAGTGAGCAGACCTGTGAATGGAGAGGGATATTTTAATAGCAGTATTTAATCCATTATAGTTAAAATGTGATTCAATGCGTAAGTGATGATGATCTATCTTTTCTATGGTTTATAAATGAGAATCAGAATCTTCTGTTTTGGTGAGAAATTGAAATATGAGTTGTTAATCCTGGGTAAGTTTTATTGTAACGATCCAAATTTTTACCTTTGGAATTATTATACATGTACCTTAAAATAATACATTCATAAATAATGAAAAAAACGTAATATCTTTTGAATGTGAAAGGTTTAAAACAAATTTTAAAGAAAGTATAATAAACATTATTAAAAATCTTTAACTACTTAAATCATTATTCATTTTCAACCACGCAAGCACAATCTACCTCCGATCGCCTTGAACCCGCCTCTTTTAATTACCTATAAAATTTTTAACATATATATGTGAGACATAAATATCAGTAAATGAGTAATAACGAATTTTCATCTCATATTTAATTAAGGAAAATCGTGACATATATATGGAGACCCGAGAATTAAAATATGAACTTCGTGGCTATAATTTTCGTGCGTAGCGCTGCTAAACTCTAGTCCTTTGAACTTACACATATAGGACCCTTATCATAATCATAGCCAGAATTTTCGTATTTTCATATTCATAATATAAATTTTCGTAAATTAAATAATGAAAGAACAATTTGTACTGCTACACTTACCTTTTACTTGATAATTCAAAAATGATAGAAGAAGTGATTGTTGGAGGAAGATCCTTGAGCCGCGTGTCGGGTTGTATGATTGTGTAAGTGTATGACTAAATTTAATATGAAAAAGACTAGAGAAAGAGTAAAAGTGTAGAGATAAAGTGATAGAGATTGAGAGGAAGAGTGTAAATAATTGGTGAGGGATAATCCAATGTTGAATTTAACTCCTATTTATAGTGCAAGCTCTTGGACCATGTATGGAAAATTGAAAGGAAATGGTTAGATGTTAGGCATAATCAAAATATAATCATGTGATCAAATCAATTGACTTGGCTTGAATCTTGGTGTAAATAATGCATGTGGTCTAATCAATTACCTTAGTTTATGTGGTCAAAGCAATTACTTTGCTTAAAATGTGGTGAATAATGCATGTGGTCAAATAATAATATTTAATCATAGCTAATTGACATATCTACATATAATTTTATTTAACTTTCAAATTAACTCATCACTTTGGCTCTCAAACTATTGGTTAGTAATTAATAAGGTCATTAGACTTTAATAATAGCGCACTTAAGTCCTAATTTTTAATCTAACGACTATTAATAAAAATTCTGGATATTACATTTATGCTGTTCTTAGTTCATTTATTTTTTCTTTTTATGGTCTAATCATTTTGTGAAATACATTGTGATCAAATTTCTTAGTTGCTTTTTAATTGAATACTGTTTCTTGGTCATATAATGAGATGTTGACATAAATAAAAGTTCTTGTTGAATGCTTCATAAAATTATGAACTAAGAGCAGTAAGCAGTAGATCTTGATGGTTATTTGTTTTCTTTTTATATGACAGCCTTTGGAGCAAGTAGAAGTGGAGTATGTCCCAGAAAAGGCAGAATTATACGGTGGCTTAGATGAGGAATTCCGAAAAGTCTTTGAGAAATTCAGTTTTAAAGAATCTGCTGGTACTGAGGTAAAAATATGTTTTATAATGATTCTTTTGTTTCCCTCTATCTTTTGCTATTCCCCCCCCCCCCCCCCCCTCCTTTCTTGTTGTCTCTCTCTATTATTTTCTCTGTCATAACATTTCAGTCTATTCAGGAGAATGATAAGGAGAATGAGACTGCACCTGATGCAGCCTCGAAGAAGAAGGCTGACTCAGATTCAGAAGAGGAGGAACAGGATACACAACAAAAAGAGAAAGGAGTCTCTAATAAAAAGAAAAAGGTTTTATTCTTCGTCACTGGTTATGTTGCAACATCACACTCACTTTTGAGAGAGATATGTGGGCAAGTTTTTTGTGGCTAAAATGACCTTATCTCTTGCAGCTTCAACGTCGAATGAAGATTGCTGAACTGAAACAGATTTGTTCAAAGCCTGATGTAGTTGAGGTATAAATTAACAATGTATGGTTCAAACATTGATAGTTTTTACTTGTCTGGGCTTTCTCCTGGTGAAGTGCAACATCAAAGATTCTATCATTTTAATTTTGCTATTAATTGGTTGATTTATTTCAAAGATCCAATTATTTTTGTTTTTGTCATTTCTTGGTTGATATATTTATTGTTTGTCGTTTACTAGTTTTGTGAGATCTAATTATTTTGAGTTTGTAGGTATGGGATGCCACTTCTGCAGACCCTAAGCTATTGGTGTATCTCAAATCATATCGCAATACTGTTGCAGTACCGCGGCACTGGTGTCAGAAAAGGAAATTTTTGCAGGTGAGTTACAATGGGTGATATATCTGTATAATGAGTTCCATTTAGAATGCATTACTATTCGTTACACACTTGTTCTAAGTAAATTTCGTAGAAATTAAGTTTGATCAAATTGGGTTATAGGGAAGAGGACAAGGAGGGTGACCTCAATGAGGTTTGTCTTATATGTATATATGTGGTTCTTGCAGGCAAGCAGCGGTGCCACTTCTGGAGTCTCGACATGTAGGTGTTTGGCAAGGGGAAACCTTGCTTGATTTTTCTTTTTAATTGGCTTTCTAGCATAGTTGGGTGTAGGAATTTTTATCACACCCTTTTAAATAAGTAAACATGCCTGATTAGAGTACCTTACCTGGAAACTAAACCTGCAATTTCTGCTTAGCAGGATGCTAAGGAATCTGCTTGGAATTTCAGATCTATTTGCTTTCCACAGAAAGCTTGGACTAGTTGAATTCGCACTCTAAAAATTCGGCTCTAGGATTCTTAGTTACTTGATTTGCGTATAAAATCTTTTGCACACAGCTTATCTCATCTTTTGAAATCGTTTTGCAGGGCAAGCGTGGTATTGAGAAACAGCCTTTTCAACTTCCTGATTTTATTGCTGCCACGGGGATTGAGAAAATTAGACAAGTGAGACCGATTTTACATCTTTGTAGTTTCATACAATTTCATGCTTACACAATGTAAGAGATACCATCAATAGTCTATGTTGCTCAGACTCAGGCATAGGATATTGTGTATGGGTGTGCGCTTGTCAGCATTTTTGGTGATTTTGTTGTTACCTTTTCCATATTGCCTGGGGGCAGGGAGTTGATATGTGAATGCTTGTCCTGGGATGCTCATATTAGCTAATAAGGGCTCTCATTTGAATGAAGTGGTTAGATGAATATGTGGTTCATTTTTAGTTTTCTGGTCCTGGACCTATTTTAACCCGGAAGTTATTATATAACTTGTTTGAAAACATGTCATCACAGCCAATGGATGTGTACTTTATTATTATTACATAGTGCTATCTTTTGTCCTGTCCTCAATGTGTGTAGTTTTTTCTTAGTAATAGTATTGTATTTAATTGACTATGATGGAATCTTCAATGTTGATGTATTTGTCAAGCCTTTTGTCATGTAATGTAGATTCTGGCCTTTTCATGTACTTCATTTTGTTTATTTAATCTCCTCTCTCATTGTCCCCTTCATGCCATCCTTCACTCGGACAATTTCAAAACTTAAGTAGGAAAGATAAAAAAACTCAGAAAGGAAAAAAGGTATGTGTGCTAGAGCTGGTTCTGCATACATTTTGTTCCTTTCCCATTGGAGGTTTTCATTAAGGTTAGGCTCTTCAAATGACAAAATGTCTAGACCCAAGAGGAAACCTGTGTTTTTTTCTTGTTTCTGAAGAAGACTACTAAAAAGTTGCACTGATTACAAAATTGTTCATGTTTATAATCTTTGTCCTGCATTCAGTTATTCAGCATCCTTGTCGTTATATTTTAACAAGTAAATAAGCAAGTTACACTGTTATTACTGGGGTTTCTTCTATCACTTATATCTTGCCCTCTCACTTCCTCCTATGTGACTTGTTCATTCTTTTATAGCAGCGAAGCCTTCTGTGTGTTTATATGCAGGCTTACATAGAAAAGGAGGATAGCAAGAAACTGAAACAAAAGCAACGTGAAAAGATGCAGCCAAAAATGGGAAAAATGGATATTGACTATCAGGTATTATATGTTCAATCTCAAAACAATATGGGCCTCACAATACCTCTCAATGTTGTATTTGTTTAAACTGATGGCATTGTGTGGAGCTCATCAGTCACTTATTTTTCTGCTTTTCTCCTTGTATTCTTTTGACACTTCACTTCTCATACAGGTACTCCATGATGCGTTCTTCAAGCATCAGACTAAACCGAAATTGACGGCACATGGTGATTTGTATTATGAGGGGAAGGAATTTGAGGTATTTAGTTCACCAGAAATGTTTGTCCACGGCATTTTTTTTTTTTTTAAATATATGTTTTGGATAAAGCCAACGAGTGTGTTAAGTAGATGATGATTTTTTAAGATATGTGATTGTTAATTTAAAACTTTTCTTTTACAATTCTTTGGATTAGTAAAGTATCACATTGTATTTTTGTTCTAAGTTTTACTCCTTGATTTGTGGTGCAATGCTTGGTCTGTTTTCAATCCTTCAGATTGTTGTTTCAAATATGGGGACATCAAGTTTATTATGTTTGAAGCTATGGAGTGCCAGAAAAATATTAAAAAAAAAAAAAAAAAAAAAAACTCCTTCATCTCAAATGGAGGCTAAGATATAAATAATCAAACACATAACAAGATCGAGAACTCAGAACTAGAATTGAAAGTCTAAAACAAATGAAATAACGAACAAATACTTGAGAATTTATGTTGCTTACATTCAAAAAGGGAAACGTAGAGAAAGAAAAAAGATGTAGAAACAAGAAGAAAAATATAAAAAAAAATTATTTATTTTAAAAAAAGGGAGGGAAAAAAAAAATAAAAAAAAAAAAAAAAAAAAAAATCACTCCTTGGAGAATAATTGCTAAAATTGTACATGCTATTTGTTCAGCTTTTAACTTCCATTTGAATTACACAGGTAAAACTTCGAGAAATGAAGCCAGGAACTTTGTCACAGGAACTAAAAGAGGCTCTTGGAATGCCTGAGGGTGCTCCTCCTCCTTGGCTTATCAATATGCAGGTCGTGAGAGATAATACCTCATTATATTTCCTCTGTTTGTTTGATCAGTATATCTTTTGAAAATTATCCCTCATTATCCTTAGGATAGAGATGATTTTAATTTTTATTTTCTTCCTTCATTTCAGAGATATGGTCCTCCACCTTCTTATCCGAGTCTGAGAATTCCGGGGCTTAATGCTCCTATTCCTCCTGGAGGTAAATTTGGCTATGGACATGGAGACTGGGGCAAACCACCTGTAGATGAAGTAGGTTTACCTTCCCATTTTCTTTATTTGCACACTCCATCCTTTTTTGTTTATTTTTTCTTACTCTCTCTTATTTTCACTTCACCAGTATGGACGTCCCCTGTATGGAGATGTTTTTGGCGTTTTGCAACAAGACCAGCCCAATTATGAGGTGATAACCAGTACATCATGAAGAATTTCATAAATGTTTTTATTCTTTCTGATGATATTCCAGTTGATGTGTCTGCTTTTGTGCTTAAGATTTAACTTATCCAGCTTCATCATATCGATCCGATTTTCAGGAGGAACCTGTTGATAAGACAAAGCATTGGGGTGATTTGGAAGAGGAGGAGGAAGAAGAAGAGGATGAAGAAGAGGAAGAGGAAGAACAGATCGAGGAAGAGGAACTGGAAGATGGCATTCAATCTGTCGATAGCCTTTCAAGGTATAGTATTTGCCTTCATTCCCGTGTTCGACGTTTCTCCTTCACGTCGGTGTTGAATTACTAATAACGATGAATGTGGGACTAGCATTGAATGGAATGCCCAGTGTAACCCTAGGTGCTAATAGGGCCTTGTATTTCTCTCGACAATTTTTGACATGGATAATGTACTTCAAATTCTCATATTAAAAAAGGCCTTCTTTTGTATCAATTGATGGAGTAATTAAATTTGAAAGATGTTTTTGATGCTGGCGCGGGGTCCATTTTTCACGTTCCTTTATTTGTATTTTTATAATGTTTTAGATACCCTATTTGGGTTGTTTCCGAGTCTGACTTGTTTTTTCTTGTTGAATGGGGTTCAGCACTCCTACTGGGGTTGAAACCCCTGATGTTATTGACCTTCGGAAGCAACAGAGGAAGGAACCTGAGAAGCCTCTCTATCAAGTGAGTACAACTTTTGACTGCTGTCATCTTCCCAATCAATTTTCCGAGTTTCACTTTTTGGAGCTCATCATTTTTTTTCTTGTTCTTTGAAGGTGCTGGAAGAAAAAGAAGAGAAGATAGCACCAGGAACCTTGCTGGGCACAAGTCATACGTATGTTTCTGCTTCTTTTGACAAATATGGATAAACTTTTCGTATTCAGTTTTTTGCATTGTGAATTGAATTCCCATTATACTTCTCATACAGGTATGTGATCAACACTGGCACACAGGACAAGACCAGTGCTAAACGGGTATATGAATTTGATTTTCTCTTCTTTCCTTCCATTTTTTCCTTTATCCTTTACTTCTACTTACAAAAGGAGAGTTCTGCATGATCAGTTGGTTATTAGCTTTGAATTGCCTATCATTGGTATTGGGAAACTATGTTTGCGGGCTTTCATATTTCTAGTTGATTGCGTTACTAATTCAGACTGACAAGTGTTCTGCAATAGAAACTATTTAAATCTTTTTCTTGTTAACTGTTGTTTACATTGTTAATTGTTTTCTATTTATTTTCTGAAGACAATTGGAATACCTTTGAAACCCATGTCTCATTATTCTGCTGATTTGATGGCTTAATTTGTTCTAGAAGTATCATCAGGCTCCACACACACACATACACACGTGATCCCGGCAATAAAGTAGTTTCTGCAAGCATTCAGTATATTGGGATGACTGATTTTGTGCATTCAAGATCTTTTGGTTGATTCTCAAATTATGTAGTTACTATAATTAATTCACATGCAGGATCAGTGTTCCTTTCATGAAAGCTGAAACAAAATTGCTATATGTAATTGCAAAATGCGTTTGCAGATATTGGAGTCGCAAACTGTTGATTAATTATTTGCGACCTATGAAATCTCAAATGATAAGGCCTGCAATTCCTCGCTGTTTGTTTGCTTTGGCTGTAAACTGTGTCATACTTCCATGAATCATAGATCACTGGCAAATTATGAAATAGCTGAATATATGTTACCGAGAACCAATGGAAGTGTCTGAATCTGTTGCAGATTAATACAACAAATTGATGATGTTTCTTTCACTTTTTATCCCTCTTAGGTTGATTTGCTTAGGGGTCAGAAATCAGATAGAGTCGATGTAACACTAGCACCAGAAGAGTTGGAACTCATGGATAATGTTTTGCCTGCCAAGTAAGTCGAGTCCTTTTCTTGTTATCGTATCATTCATTGACCAGGTTATATGTGAAGAAGGATGGCTTATTGCCTTGTCGTGTATAACCCAGGTATGAGGAAGCCAGAGAAGAAGAGAAGTTGCGAACTCAGCGGGAGGATTTCAGTGACATGGTTGCTGAGGTAGGTGCACCTTGGAGTCGTTCAATTTCCAAAGCCCCATTTATATTCCTAAACACCATCAAGAAAAGCCTTCTAACACATAATCATATTTGTCCAGAATGAGAAGAAAAGGAAAAGAAAGATGCAGGAAAAAGAGGGCAAATCAAAGAAGAAGGACTTCAAGTTTTGAATTGTCTTTTGCAACTTCTGAAGATAAAAGCATATAGAGCTTTTGAGTTATGGGTAGTGCTTCCCATATTGCAATTTATAGTCATTGCTTTCCTGCACCGTGATATGTTAGTGGCTGTACTTTTGGTTACTGTAATAAATGACCTTGCACGCCTGTGCTTTTGACTACAAGGATGCTGTGTGAACTATAATAGTTGGGTTCGTACTAATTGAGTAACGAGTTCTGTTCTATCAAGATCTGAAATAAAAGGCTAGGGAAGGACGTGAGGTGACAAGATATTTTCGTTTGAATTTGAAATAGTTCAGTTTGATTATTGAGCAATGAAATTTCCAAGGGATTGTGTATGATGGTTGAAGAAGAAAAGTGTTCTATGATAGTTTATAAGAATATGGAGTGTAGTATGCTTCTGAGATAAACCTGAATTTCTGGTTGCACAAGTACAAGTCTGTTAATATTTGCAGGAAGCAACAGGAAAGATCATGCTAAAATCTAGAAACCCTGTCCATCGCTTGATTGTGTGATTAAACCTGGACCGACTTGAAAAGAGTCGAACTACTAACGGCAACGGGGTGGCCCCGCCCTTTCTCCGTTCCTCGGCGATATTTTTGGGGTGGGGGTGGATCCCTATATACTAGTTTATTAATTTTTAATCTCACATTATTACCTTTAAATTATGTTCTAAATTTGAAAATGAAATAGGAGCGGGGGTTTTTGAGTAGGTTTTCCATCCCCGTCCTGATTCTCTGACAGGGAGGGGGCCCTCTCAACTGAGCATGGAAGGATTTGGCATCAATCAAGTAACTGTATTTAGTCTTGTTTAATAGGTTAATTATACTTGAATTTGATTTTAACTAGGTAAATAAACTTTGATTTAATTTCAGTTAAGTTAATTTCATCAAAGTTCACCAGTAGAAACGTAGTCGTTAGGGGTTAATGTGGAATAAGTATAATTCTTTAGTGAAATAAATAATTATCATTCTGACTGTTATGTCATTGTTTTTTATCAATCAAGGTGATGGGATTTGATGAAGTTACTTGATCTTAATTAAATTCAAGATTTTGTTCACGTTAAATTGACGAGGAATAATATGAAAGTTGTCAAATAATATTTGTCGATGATTTAAAATGTGGCAACTTCGCATCAGAGAGGTCGATCTTCTAGTTCGACCAATTTACACAGCTAACTGTGCCGCCCATTTTGCAGATCCCGAAGAACTCAACATTCTTCAATATGCGAAGCCGTTATATTTTAGACCATCAATAGTATTCATATTACTAAAACACCACCTGAATTTCGGTGAACGATATCTCAATATTGTAATAGGATCGGGGTTCAAAGATCAAATGGTATACTCATTGACAATCGACGAGCAAACATCAAATCAATAATTCAGCAGGAAAGGACAAAAGTTGTATACGAAATATCATCAGCATAGAAATGGGCCTGAATCTCTACAAAACTTGTACATATATCTGATATAAATTTGGAGAGAAGTTTCCTTATGACTATGAGGGAACATTTGATAATTGATAACATGAAATTTATTTCTCTGCATGCAGATGAAACACACATGGCTGATAAACGAATCTACAGTGACGAAGAATACAGTAATCAATTCTGTACAAAGGCTTGAAACACAACTTGCTGCTTCACGATTCTCTCTTATGAAACGAATTTTCTTCTGATTTTACACAATTTCGTCTAGCGGACAATCGATTTAGTCCGACGTTTCTCGAGCATTGAAGGAGCTGTTTTACTGACGACTGGGGTTTTCTTAGGCGCTGCAGCTGCAGGACTCGCACCCGAAGAAGCTGTTCTTTCAGCGATTCTCTTCTGCCGTTGGATAAGTAGTTCTTCCATTCTCTTACGAACATCTTCTTCCTGCAGAAGAAATGCATGAATATAATTGAAAACACAAGTAAATCACCGTATAATATAATAAATTATATGTATACCTTTTCTAACTTGCTCTTATGAGCCATCAACCTGCTTGCTGAAGACGGCTTCTTGTTCTTTGATATGTTATCGGGCTTGCTCTTAGCAGGGGATCCCCGTAAAACTCCAGATTTCAAGTCCCTCCCCAGATTCTTCGTAGTTGGACCTGCATTTTTCTTGCTGATGGCACTTTTACCATTGACAAGAGGATTTTCTTCTACGTTGGTGTTTGCTTTAACTAGAGAAGATCTTCTATCAGCCTCTGTAAAAGAAATTTCAGCTTCATAATCCATTTCTAGTGTCCAGGTTTCCTCCACGGATTCACGTGACTCCCTCACAAGTGCCATGCAGAGTTCATCAGGCTCAGCCTGCTTGGGTAATTCCTGTGAACCATTTGAATTTTTATTTTGAGTCCTTGTAGCTAGATTTATGTCCTCGACCATGCTAATATCAGTTCTCCATGAAGAATCATACTGACCATATACTGCCGGTCTAGACTCTATAATAATGGAATCGTCAACCAAATCAGTTTTTTGGGTTGATTTTTTGTGAATAAAGTTTGCCTCATAGGACATAATGCCAAGATTGTCGAATTCCATTTGCTCTGAATCTCCAGAGGATTCAACAAACCAATCTTCCACCTTCCGGTTTCTAATAATGGATGATTCCGCAGCAAATTCAGATGGAGTTCTGAGTAGACTTAGCTGTGATTCTTCTGATCTTTGCAGAAACAATGCATTCTCATTTTCAGAAACCGTTCTTTTCACAATTGGGTGCGTATTTTCACCATTTGTAAAATCTAACACATCATCTCTGCCGTCATTCTTTCCATTTCTGTGAATAACACGAATAGCATCATCGGTGGTCAAAGGTTGTTTCTTAATTTTCTCAGACTTGAAATCTATAGCATCCTGAAAATCCATAATGTGATGATTCTGAGAGCCATTAATAGTTGACTCATCGTGACTCATGAGCAGATTCTGAAAAGCATCCCAATTTTCATTTTTCTTCACTCCAACATCATTCTTAAAATCATGCTCAGTTATATCAATAGATCCATTTTTAGAATGGGAGCCTCGATGTCCTCTGTTCTTATGAGTTTTTGAGTGGGAATGTTTCTCCAATGATGCAATTGCATTGTCCACCCCCTCTCTGATGGAAGCTTCATCAAGTGCCGAAGAATCATCAGAGATTCCATCCTCTTCTTCATCACGCCTCCCGGAAGTCATATAGTTTATGTTACGAATCACAACCGTCTTTGAGGACTTTTTCTTGTTATTTTTAACATACAATTGCCCCTTTGAAGAATGCTTCTTGCCATGCATTTTACTTTCATCTGAATCTGTCCCAGAATAAGAGTCAGTAGATTCATTTTGTTCATCCTCATCGGAGGTTTCAGCTCCATTTGCTTCTAAAGGTTTCTCCTTTCTGCGAGATGACTTTTGATTTTGATGACCATTAGACTGTAGAATAATGCCATTAGGAGAACCATTCACATTTTGAGGCCATCCCAAATGCCCGGGATAATAAGGCAGGACGGGATGCATACCCGGGAAAGGATATCCTTGGTATTGTTGAGTAGGATTTTGAAAGTTGTACGCATATGGAGGAATATGATCCATCCATGGCACCTGTAACTGTGCTTTAGCTGAAGTTGATGATGTCTGATCCAAAGGAGGCTTAATTTCTGCTGGCAAAACTTCAAGATTAGAATATGACGTCTACTGGAGGTATAGGCTATAAGGTAGATTCGACAATAAACAAATGTTCGATAATGCAAGTCAAACAGATGTTTCTAGTTATCCCTTAACAAATTCTTGTTATTGTTTCTGTTGAAGACAAAATTTAAATGATATATATATATATAGCAGAGCTTAAGATTTAACTTAATATCAAAGGTCTTGAGTTTCAAATCTTGTTACCACCGCTACTGTTACCCATTTAATAAACTGTACGCGTGTTTGATAATACAAAATAAATCCCATCTGTACGTAAGGGGCATGCTAAAGACAAGATTTAAATAATATACACGTTGCCCTCTCTAACCGCTTAAGCTTTTAGATAAAATGGTTCAGCAGTTTCCATGACCAGTTGGAAAAACTTATTTTCTTCCTTGGGAAAAGATTCATCCGCATATTAATGGTGTTCACAAGATACCATAAGGTTAAAGTTAGAATGTTAGAATTGAAGATATTGAAATTTAGAGCATTTATTATCCGATAAACAAGATAGGGACTTTAGACAATGAAAAAGGTTCAGCATCCATATAAAGTGATAATCAAGACAGTCCTCTGCATACAAAAATTGAAATTTTCATATTTTAAAATTTCCCTTTTCAAGCACTAATTGTAAGAGCTTTCTGATAAGTAGAGACAATGAAAAAGATATGCTGAGACAGACAAAACATGCAAAGTAGATAAATAATTGGGTGATATTAAGGAAAATGCACCTTTGCTACCGTCTGAATTTGTTGTAGTAGATTCCATAGAGCCAATCGACCCCAATAGACCCTCAGAGTTCCCACTCTTGTGATTGTTTTCACCGGCAACCATGATTCCAGACGTCCCCATAAAAGAAAGAGCAGGAATGGAGTATGCTTGAACTGCTGCTAATTCATCCATCCATTGGTTGTCCGAATGCTTTTGCTTGTAAAGCTCCTTGAAATCAGTGCACGCTTCTCTACATAACAAATTTTCGTTCAAGTATAATACTTTCTCTTATAGAAAAAAAGAGAGAAAATTAGATGCTTTACTTGATAATGATTGGAGGGAAGAAAATCAATATTATCAAAACGCACTGCAGAATTTTCAAGAAATGACTCTCCATGAGTGACAAAATTACAATTTCTTAGCAATGATAGTTGTAACTTCCGTTGAACTGTCTTTTGATGAGAATGGATGATTTGGACAGTATACCTTCCGCAGGCAACTTAGATTTTAGTAATGAAGCTATTCAGCATCAATTATTTGGTGAAATTCAATCAGGTATAGAAATGTAAGGTTGTTGAGATATATAATCTTCGTTCTGAAGTTCAGAACTGTATTTACTTTATTTCACTTAAAAGATTGCATGATATGGATTGTGAAAAAATTAAAATGCGTTGCACCTTAATCGGGAGGCTCCAAATGTGTCAGCAAAGCATATGAGATCATCAATGTTGTCAATTTCAAATCCTGCCACGACAGCACGGGCATAAGCCATGGCTTGCTCTTTCTGTAGTAATGTTTTTCGAGTATCCATAATACGTTGCAGACGAAACCTTCTCAGAACAAACAACTTAATGAATCAAGTATCTGAGGAATGAAATAGTGTTTTAAATATTTGAAATGCAAGATCATTTACTTGGAATTTTCTTCCGCTGCAGCGCCATCAACCCCATCTTCATCATTTAACTAAAAGAACCATCAAAATGGAAATTCGAGTTAGGCAAAGATTTTAATGGAGAAATTACCAATCTTCAACTGTTCAAATAAAATACCTTTGAGGAATCCCTTGACTTCTTCGTGATACCATCAGCAGTTGACAGGTTTCCTAATAACACGAGTAGTCGAGTGAATAAAGCAACACAGCATTCAAAAGCTAACAGTATACTGATTCAAAAAACCAGACTCAGAAAACTTGATCCTGTGATTTTCCAAAAAACATTATATTTCTACAGCGTGAACCATCAATGAGATGTGCATTTATATGTTGAGCATTTTTTTTTTTTTTTTTTGATGACCATGGGTATCTGACTATTGGGGCCAACTTACGCACACCTTGATTAATTCCATGGGGCTCTGGAGTCTACAACTGAATACTCATCTCAGTGATCCTAAAGGGACTCGAATTGGTGACCATTGGGAAGCAAACCCAAGATCTGACTATTGAACTACCCCTTAGAGTTTACACGTTGAGCGTTTTGACAATATTACTATGATTCTCTTCATTCATGGATGCCTGCATGTATAAGTTAAATTCTCTTTGGAAGATATTCAAACCATACCTTCCCCGATATGTCCTGCCACATCATTGTTCGAAATTTCGTTAGATTGAATTGAACTTTCTATCTGTGCAATTTCTCGTTCTATTCTTATCATCCTCTCAAGAATTTCAGGTGTACTCACAAAGCGCACGAATCTGCCATCCATGAGGGAAAAAAAAAATAAAAAATCTATAAGTAAATTATCTCTTACATAAGCCAGATTTTCAAGTATCAGTAATGACTGAATCCTTCTCCTGGACTGTGCCATTCTCTGAATCCAATCTTCAAGATTTCAACCTCTACATTTTTTTCTCTCTTTATCATAATTAAATCCGAGTACAATGACTGCTACTTCAATTCAGACAAAAGGATCCATCTTTCACCATTCAGAGAAGTGGAAAAAGACAGAATGAAAAACAAATTAATTTCACAACTTTCGTAACAACAATGATAAAGCAATTATGTAATAAAGACTTGGATATCATAGCCCAAAAGCTCAAATGATCAAATCGCAGTCGGATTTTAAGATCAGTGATCTCAACTTAGCCCCTGTTTTGTTGATAATGCGCTAAAGATTGACCATTTAAGATGGAATCCAAGACTCTATATGAATTACAGATCAAATTGTACAAGATTTTGTGATGTTACCTGTGAAATGTGGATTTGGTGAACCATGGGCCATCAACCGGTGGACGCAGAGTAATTGAATACCCACCTTTCGGAATCTGATCTTTAGCATATTGCAAGTGAGAAATGAAGGGTTCCACTAGCCCAGAAGCTAATTTCTCATTTTTCTTCCCGGAAAACACCACAAGATCGCATCTTTTCCAATTCCAATTAAAACCCATAAGCAAGAATAAAAAACATCATCAGTATCTGATACCCGTTCATAGATTCAAAAAATAGACATAATTATACATCCACATTCAAGGAATGTACCTTGTTCTTGTTGGGGTGAGTTGGAACAGAGCATAATCAAGAAGGGTCTTGGAATCCATATTCAGGCCTAGGAAGTGAGATGGGGAGGAAAAGATTTCAAATTATATTGATGTGTAATTTTTTGAACGTGATATCTACAAAACTTTTGTTTTGCTCAACTGGACCTGAGAAAGAGCCAGCAAGAACTGATAGAGCATTGCACATGGGAACTGTGGGTATCTCTGTATATGGTGTGTGAGAGAGAACATTTTGTTGATTTGTGATAATATGGCGTGGGCTCCTCAATCCACCCCACGTCTATTACTTCTAGAGAAAATTGCTTCATCGATCCCAAGTTGGTAAAAAATCTTTAAAAACGAAAAAATTAGTTGTTAAGTTTTTATAATGCCCGAAGGATTAAAATTAAATTTTTAGTAAATTTCGATAAAAGTTGATAAAATATCTGATTAAAAAATTGTTAATTTCGTAAAATATATAATTAAAATTAATTGTTATTTTTTATTTAGAAATAAAATGTAGTTAAAAATACTTAACAAGTTTCCAAATGAGAGTCGCTGTGCAACTATAATAAAACATCGATAGCCAAATTATTACTTGAACGATAGCTTGAGGACTAACTTCATAAATTAAATACGTGTGAGGACCCCTTACAAGTATCTGTCAAGTTTTTAGCATTGAAGAGACTAATTGTGCAACAATAATGAAATATAGATGATCATGTTACTTGAATGATAGCTTGAGGACCAATGGTGAAATTACTCGCTATCATTGTGCTTATAATGAACTAGTAATTAATTTCTAATTAGACAACTTAATTATTATGCTTGTTGCTATACAATTTTCATGCCAGGTAGTGACTACGAAAGGTTGGATTTGCTCACGTTGACTAATCAATGAAACATAATTGCATTTGATTTGTTTAATCAAAAGTAAAATTAATTAATCTTATTTTAGCATTGTTAAGGGAACATTTTGGTTGGATTGTCCACATCTATCTACCATAGATACTTTCTTAATTTTGTCCATAAACACCATTTTGTCAATTCTGCATTTTTGTTTGTTTGTTCGACATTCCATCCCACTCGCCAACGTTAATTTAGTGCGTTGAATCATTTCATATAAAAGTTTTGATACCGAGCTCAATTATATAACAATGAATAATTTTACTTATTTGTTTGAATTTTGATTTTAATATAGTGAAATAAATAACTAAATATAAAGAATACAATTATAAGCTTAAACGTGTGATTATAAAGAGATAATTTTTCATATCAACTTAAGTGAAGAATTCGGAGGCCTTGTAATTAATAAATATATTTAATCATAGCTTGTTGTTCTTAATTTCATTTTTAAAAAAGGCTTTCAATGTATTGTGTTCTTGTCGGTGATTTAATAAGGGATATAAGCACAAACTTCCCCGTAATGTTCTAGATCTATATATATATAAAAGTAAAAGTAAATTCAAGAAAAAGAAAACAAACAAATTGAAAGTCATGAACTCAGAAAGACATTAAAATAATATACTAATTCCAAACTTACTTTAAAGTCTTTTCTTATTCCCAAGATATTGTTTTCTTATATTATAAATTTGATTTTTTATGCACAACTTGTTATTCTTCCACTACAATAGTCATCGTCGCTGTTAATACTAACCATTGCGTCATATTTGTAACACTCAATCTCCCCATTATAGTCGATGTCATATTACTTGAACGATGCCTTGTTACGATGGTTGTGGTCGGTTTTTGGTTCAAATATGTTTGTTTTCTATGGTGGCAGTGGTAAATGATGGTGATTATGACCACCGTGCGTGGCCTGTCATTGCCCGTTAGATCCATTTGTATGTGTGTGAAGAATAAAAAGTCAATATTTAGGGTATAAAAAAGTATGACAGATAAATTAAAAAAAATAAAAATAAATAAATAAATAAGAAGAAGAAGAAGATTGGTGAGAGTAATTTTCACCCCATTTATTACACTGGATTGCTTGCACTTAAAGACAGGAACAATATAAAGCCGGGATCAGCATTCTGAATTTTCAGATCCTTTTCTAAGTTACTTGGCCAATATCACATGATTCTATATTATTATTTTTATTATGAACTTTGCTATTTGATTATTTACCCTTTTTTTGGTACAATGGGTGCGGAGGTCTTATTTTCCAGATTTTTAGCCTCCATTAAATTACATTCGATTACATTTTATTTCTCTCTCCTATTTTCAATCATACAATTTTTCATAAAATAATAATATACGTAAATCGAAATTTTTTCTTTTTTCTTTCAACCATTCATTTAAAAAAAAAAAACAATATTCCACCCATTTTCATTACCAAAAAATGGGGGCCAAACAGGGGCTTACAATTTGTTTCCTTCACCAACGGGATTACTAATTTGGTAGAAAAATATACGTATGAGTATTAAAGAATTTTATCAAGGCCGGCCCTAAGCCAAGGCCAACTAGGCAATGACTTAGGGCCTCACATAGAATGGGGGCCTCAAAATAAAAACATGGTAAAAGTCCAATTAAATTAGTATAAATTTAAAAGATGGAATAATTAAAAATTTATTTAACAATAATTTATTTGGTTAATTCTAACTTAGTTCAATCTTATTCAAAATAAATTTTTCTTGAGTTTTACATACATGATTAATTACAAATTATCAAACAAGTCTAATATTATTATGGTAATATGATTTAATTTGAAAAGTAATATTACTTATTCAGTAGTTTACTTTAATAAGTTATAATTTGAATTTGATTTAAAATAAATTTTTCATGAGTCCATAATATGATTTATCGAAAATAACTTGAATTTGCTACTTTAACTTTTGAATCTACCAAGTCTTTGTTTAAAATATAAATATATGATTTATTTAAATATTTAAGTATTTTTACGCATGTAAATTTTTTTTTCTACGTTTAAGGGTCTCATAATAATGAGTCGCTTGGAATCTCAAAATTCTCGGGGCTGATCCTAAATTTTATTGTCCTTTAATTAGATTAATTAAAATACGCGACACAAAAATAGGCAAGAATATGTTTTTCGTTTAAGTCCGTACAAGAGCTACCAATAAATATCGTGTCCAAACCTTATGAAAATATCAATTATCTATCTTTCCTTTCAATTAATTTCAACTACTTCAAATGCTTTTTGTACTTCCTTTTCAGTTAACGTGATGCAAATTTGGACTTTTTAACTCTTCTATATCATCTCATTTCAAAAACACCTGCTTCACGAGAGAAAAATATCAACTAAGTATTGTATTATAGAATTTATCATACTTGGATCAAATTAAATTAAGGGCCCGTTTGGTAGGGATTTTGAGAATTGATTTTTTGACCGTTAGAAGAAAAGTGGGGTCCACATGTGAGAGAAGAAGTCAAAAATTACGACTTGAATAGTAAAATAACGGTCAAAAAATCAATTTTTTTGGGCAAAAAATCCCTACCAAACAGGGCCTAAAGTAGGCGACAAATATCATTTTTGTGTTTATGTTAATAGTTTAGCTTGTGACTTTTATAAGCTTAGACACATGAAAATAGAGACAAAAGAATATATATAAAAAAGGGAAATTTCATATTTAAAAGATTAAGTATGATAATTTCAAAACTAAAAAACAAGGTTTATTATTTCAAAAATCATATATTAATTAAATTTTATTTATTAAATAATTATTTAAAATATATTTTATTAATTAAATATTTTAAGGTTACAAAAATTTTATAATTTATTATCACAATTATGTATTAGTCATAGTGATAGATAGGGGTGTAAGTGGTTCAATTTTACCGGTTTTTGACAGATTTTCAAACCAAATAGTTTAAAACGGTTTGAGAAAAATCCAAACCTAAACCAAACCATTTTGAACGGTTTGAAAAAAACTCAAACCTAAACCTAACAGTTTGGTCCGGTTTTAAACCGCCGATTTCGCCATATATTTTTTTGACCGTCTACTTTTATGTCATTAATTCATTGAATTCAATATATATTTATAACTTACTAGTAATAAATCTAAAACAAACTAAGCCCCTGTTTGAACCAAATTTTTGGGATAAAAAATGAAAAATTGGACCGTTATCTCACAAGTTCAGCCGCCTTTGTTGACCTACTATTTCATGTGTGGGACCCAGCCTCCTCTCCAACAGTCAATTTTCTCATTATGATGATATGGAAAATATGGCTCAAACATGGACTAAATATATCTATTATAAATTTAAATACCAATTAAATCAAAGTGAAATCACAATAAACTAAAACATAGTTTTTTTTTTCATTTTTTTCACCTTTTTAGGCTAATAACGATACAATAACGTTACAATAAAAGCCTACTAAACTATATATAAGGCCCAAAAAATATAATGATGTCCAACAAGATCTCGTGATCATCATATCTGAAAAAAAAGGATACTAATTAAATAAAAAGAATAACCACCCACAATACTAAAACAATTGTTTATAATATCTAAATATAACAATTACACAAGTTTACGTTTGTATGATGTTACGAAATGCATTTAATTTCAAATTTTTACCTTAATTTGCTCCAAAAAAATTATTGATCTGAAACTTTATTCGTAACAAATATTATCACCGAAGATCTAGAATCTCTTTGTCTCAGATTTGGTATAATGGATTTCAATTCAACTTTAAAGAGGCGTGAAAAATCTGAAAAAGAAGTATGGTGACGATGGCTCACGACTGTGTTGGGAGTCGATTGTAGTTCATCTAAATTCTGAAGAGAAAAAAGGCTTTTGATAGATTATGTTAGTCTTGAAATTATTAGATATATATTAGGATTATTGGATGATGATGATGATGATGATGATGATGATGATGATAATGATGATGATAATAATAATAATAATAATAATAATAATAATAATAATAATAATATATCTGTATTAGAAAATTAGAAATTGATAAAAATAACCACAAAGGACAAAACTATTAAATTTTACATATTTGGATGAATTTTCAAAAAATTCCATTTTTTCATTTTTTTTTTACATATTTTTTCGCCGGTCTGGTTTGGTTTTAAACCGCAATTAAAATTCTCAAACCTAAACCAAATCATTTTGACCCGTTTGGTTTGGATCAAAACCATTTCGTTGATCGGGTTCACGTGGCACCAAACCGACGGTTTCTAAAATACGGTTTCGGTTCGATTTTTCGATTTTTGCTTACAGCCCTAGTGATAGATATCATAATTACAAATTTTATAAGTCACAATTTATTTCATAATCACAAAATATCAAATTAATTGATCACAAA